TGGCAACACTGTCTCCCATATTCTCGAGTAGTGCTTTTCAACCTTTTTCATCTCATGGCACACATAAACTAATCTCTAAAATTCAAAAGTCACCAAAAAATACACTTTTTGCCAATCTGACCAAAAAAATAGGTATAATTTTGATTCATTCACACCAGATACCTATCTATAGTTATGTTGGCTGTTCTTGGTTATTGTTTTTTTTTTGTTGTTGTTGAAAGATTTAAATTAAAAAAATAAATAAATAAAATGGCAACACTGTCTCCCATATTCTCGAGTAGTGCTTTTCAACCTTTTTCATCTCATGGCACACATAAACTAATTACTAAAATTCTGAAGTCACCAAAAAATACACTTTTTGCCAATCTGACCAAAAAAATAGGTATAATTTTGATTCATTCACACCAGATACCTATCTATAGTTATGTTGGCTGTTCTTGGTTATTGGTTTTTTTTGTTGTTGTTGTTTTATTTGACAATCTTAAGGGAAAAGGTCAGTGCCCCTGACTAAATATTCAGGTATTGCAGATTTTAAAAATTCTGGCAGCACACCTGTTGAAAATTGCTGCCCTAGCCCTGGCCAGGTGGATTAGTAGTTGGAGTGTCACCCCTTACACCTAAAGGTTGCCAGTTCAATTTCCAGTCAGGGCCTAGGTTGCACCGATCATGTACAGGAGGCAGCGATCAATGTTTCTCTCACATTGATCTCTCTCTCTAAAAATCAATGGGTGGGTGGGTGGTGGTGGTGGTGGTGGGGGGTGTTCACTTCCTCAGATGAGGATTAGAAAAAAAGAAAGAAAATCACTGTCCTAAGGATGTTCTGGGAAAATAAAACAACTGAAATGAAAGCACTCTGGAGTTTTCACTTGGAATGATCAAAAAAGAACACTATGTTAGATTACTTTATCTCTTCTCATTTTTTCATCAAATCTTAACCGTTAATAGCCTTTAAAGCTGTATCAAGCAAAATATCTAGAACAAAATTTCGGTTAATGTTGAAATTTTAAATCTTAAATATGAAAAAAAATGACATAATAGTAAATCTTCATTTTGAGGTCATACCAGGCAAATCTTGCATGTAGGTCCTGGTTGATTTTTCAGTGAGGAACAGGGTTAGAGTAGAGTGCTCAAATCACTGCCTTGAAAGGGAAGTCTCCAATAGTTAATATGTTTTATCTTAACATACTTAGGTCTAAAGCTCTAGGTCAGTTTTAACTAAGATTAAGAATGAGTGTTTGTCACATGCAGATTTGATATTATATTACTCTTATTTGGTAACAACAGGAAACCTTAAGGTTTAATTAGCATTTGGATAGCTTAACATATTTTTAAAAAGATGAGTCTGTTTTGCAACCAAAGGCTTGAAATGAAAAAAATGTCAGAACAATCCCTAGGTTATGATCCACCAAATCCTGCATTTTCTTTATAAAGTCAGAGCTAGAAAATAAAACATCACATGGAAAACTTTTTTCTAAAATGGAATTCCCATTTCATATAAGCAAATGTAATTTTCATTCTATGATATGTGTAAATTAGAGAAATAATTTTATATCTAGTCTTATAATCACATTTATAACATTTTAAATTAATTTTGGGGAGATGGCAGGGGGCATTAAAGGAATTACAATATCCGCTATGAAGAGAAACAAGAACTAGGCTGTGGTTTTCAAGAATAGCTTGCTCCTTGCTTGGTCAAAAAAGAAAAGAAGATAGCTGTCTGGGCATTGCTGTCCATTTCACTCCATGGCATTTCCTAACGTAGCTTTATGGGATTTTGCTTGTTTTGACTCCTTATCTCTTACTTAGCTCTTTGAATGACTTGTAAAAATATAATTTA